TCGCTCCAATGCCACATTTCTTTGGGAAAGATTCACTTCAGCTCGAAAATGAAAGCGTTTTGCTCTTTGCTCCTTTTTCTCAATTGCTTCCTGCAGAAGACAAGGTCCAATTAAAAGGATATTGGCGCTTAATTTCAAATAAACTTTATAGTAGGAAGAGACACTTATTAAAATACAAATAACCAGAAACTAATCATTACATGGCACGGCTGCATCAACAAAAAAGACAATTTATTAAAAAGGACAAAATTAAAATTGCTTTCACGGCTTGACCAAGAGTCAAAAGATTATTGCCTTGTGGCTCAAACATCTGAGCAGGTATCATGATGTGCTGGTTCCCGCTGACTCTGAATGATGTTGGACATGTGCTTAATCTTTCAATGGATAACTAAATTTATCCACCCTTAAAATGAGTCTACATAAAAGACAAAATTCAGAAAACTTTTTCTTGAAACATGGTTCCTCTACCAGACAGATTCATCTTGTTTTGAGACGACTAGTTCATTTACTTGGCGGAAAAGCGAAGATTCAGATCATGCAGAGTTTCTAGAAAGCTGCATGGTATCCTTTTGGACCATGTGTTTGCGTTTGCACCTCCCCAGCACTAATTGGAATGCTGACTACAGAAATCTTGCTGGGATTGGTAATCCAAATTATTTTCAAGAATCCCATCAACAGTATCTAAATCACAGCGATACAAAAAATTTAATGAAAGCCTTCCATAGATACATTAATGTTATTTTTTTCAAGAAAGAAAGATTTAAGAATGCCTACATCTAAAATATTAATAGAGCATTTTAAAAATTAATCAACTAAAATTAAACTCACCTTATAAAAACATCCTTATACAAGAACTGCCCTTTGATATAACTACTAGATAAATTTGATGTTTTAATCACAATTTTATTAGATTTCCCCAACCAACTCATTTTCATTACTCAGCACTGTACATCTTCTTTATCCATAATTATGAATAAGAATGTAAAATATTGTCAGGCTCCTCGTGGCGTTTCAAAGTGGCAGTGCTGCGTGGAGCCCAGGATCAGCTGGGGAGTCCCAGCTGATTCCAGCTCCATGTGAAGCTGCTGCTTTGAAATGCCAGGAGGAGCCGTGGTGTTTCAAAGCAGCAGCGCTGCATGGAGCCCGGGGTCTGGCCCAAGTGGCGCAGCTGCTTTGAAGTACCCCTTCTTCTCCCCCCCTCACCCCGCTGCCTTTTTTTGATAGAGACAGCTGGGGGGAGGGGGGGGGAGTGACTAGTCTGTCGACTGGTCCTTCACATCCTTAATTATGAATGCCATTTTGAAGGTATCATTAGGGAACGTAACACAGGTTCTGATGCTATAGCTTTCCTGAACTACAAGTCTCTGACATACAGAAACTACAGATTTATAGCCAGTAATGCTGATTTTCAATTTCTAACACCAGTTCTATTTGTACTCTTGAGCAAATAATCAGATCTCTGGCTGAGCACTCTCTAGGCCAAATGGGAACAAAACTCATGAGGTAGCGCTCACAGTGCTATTGTGAATATTTGTATTTTATCATGCACTGAAAATGTGAAGTCATAATATTATCATGGAGCACTTAACACAAAACACAGAACTTCCAGATAAGAGGTACAGTGATCAGTCACAGGGATGCCAATTATTTAAAAGTTGTATTGTGTGTCAGGGAGACCAGCTGCAAATTTAAGCATCCAAAGTAACACAAAATGATCAAACCTTGTTTTGAAGTGGCTGTTAATTTATACACCTATGCTTCATCTACACAGCAGGGTTTTTGTGCAAGAAGCCTTTTGTGGAAAAGTTCTTGCACAAAAGCACATCCAGACCTCAAAGCACATTGCAAAAGCGATGTGCTTTTGCGCAAGAGAGCGTCTACATTGCATGGATGCTCTTGCACAAGAAAGCTCTGTGCTTTTTCCTATAGGGGAGCGTCCACATCTACCTTTTTTGCACAAAAGCTGTAGCAGAAAAAGGAGTTATTTCTCATGGGGAGAGGAATAACTCTACTGGCAAAAGCCCTCTGTTCTGTCAATTTTCTTGCGCAAAAATGCACTTGAGGTGTGGACACTCTACCGTTTTTTGCGCAAAAACCTTGCAGTGTAGATGTAGCCTTAATGCGTAATGTGTGGAAACACACAATGATACTCTGAGAACTCAAGACAATAGAACTAGATTTTCCTGCCAAACACTTGCTTTCCCTTCTCTGTTACTCACAAATAAGAAAAATTCAGCTGACCTCACACAGGCTTTGCACTATGGAGTGATATCATTGCAATTCCAACAGAGTTTCCTTGTTTTTTTGGCAAATGCACTGAGCTTTTAGAAACGGTATTACAAATTCTTGGCAAGTATAAAAACTTTGTCTACAAATAAATCTTTCAATGTAAAATCACAGAAGTGTTTGGCTCAGCATTTTCATAAAGCTTATTTATTTTTGTAGATTTTATGACTTGCAAATTGGGGCTTCTCATAACTTACAAGACAGACATCACAGCGTAAGAAAAAATGTTACCAACCCACCATCAAAACAAGAATATTGTGTGTCAGGGATTATATGTCTACAATTATAGAAGAGTGTGTGAAGTCAGTAATAATCAGACTTCAGTGGTTTAGGAGCCAAATTAGCAAACAACATTGCCCAAAAGAGCCACAGTAGTGTGACATTGTTTCATTTTATATATGTTTCTCACAGCAAAATGATTCATCAAGTATTGATTTATCAACTACAATTGGTTAATAACAAAGTAAAAGCATTCTGGTGGGTTAATAATTAAATCACAGTGCTTTAATAACACTAGGGGGCTGCATCCACTGCTAGCTACACTAGCCAACCTCCCTCTTGCAGCGAGTAGGCAATCCTGGCTTTTTCCCCAGCTACTGGGGAGGGCTGGGGTGCAGCCATGCCGGGCTGGGCCCCTCCTCTGTTCCCCACTGCCATGCCAACCTCGGGCCCTTTCTCTCCCCCACCCTCGGTTGTGCCAGCTGCGCCAGGCCCAGACCTGCCCATGGCCCCTGGCAAAGGCTGGCCAGTGGCGCACCAGGCTAGACTTAGCCATACCCTCAGCCCCCAGGGAAGGCTGGGCCGTAGTGCCCTCTGCAAAGGCTGGGCTGCAGTGTGACAGCCCAGTCCCGGACCTGCTCTTGATCCCAGGTGAAGGCCAGGCCATGGCGTGCCAGGTCAGGCCCACACCAGTCCCTGAAGTCCAGGAAAGGCCAGGCTGCAGCACGCCAGGCCAACTCTCCATGTGGCCACTGGAGAGAGCTGGGCTGGCGGTGGGTGGAGCTTGACACCAGAGATGGGGCCCAGAGTGGAAGGGGTGGAGTGTGCCTTCTCACCCTGTGGAAGCTGTGATGTGATGACATCAGTTTGTCATAAACTCACAGAATCATAGAGCTGGAAGAGACCTCAGGAGGTCATCAAGTCCAGCCCCCTGCCTAAGGCAGGACCAATCCCACAGGAATTTTATATATATATAT